CGCGGGATGGTGACGTCACCAACCACCGCCGGGCTGCTGTGGGCGGTGCTGCCCGGCTCGGCTCTGGTAGTGCGGGCTCAAAATCTCTCTTGCTAAAGTTTTGGGCCGTTGTCGGTGAGATTAGCAGGGGTCTGGTCGTGGCCAGCAAGAGACAGACTTTAAGCGCACTTCCCCAAGCCGCCTCGGGCCAGGGGCTCACCTGTCGCCCCACCCACCGCTTTCCCTGGAGCTCTTGGGTCCTCGGGTGGGGTTGACACCGGAGGGAGGGCTGACTTGGGATGGGGATGGGCTGCGGATCGTCTCTTCCTCGCGACGCCCCGGGGCAGGTAGGGAAAGTCTCGGTAGACCCTCGGGCCGTGGAGCACACACACAACATGGGAATGGTAACAGTGCTGACTCCTCGCAGAGCAAACAAATCTGAAGAGTTCTGCTAACCTTGGAGTCATCCAGAGCTCCAGGCTGTACCATGTTTTACAGATGTAGCGGAAGTACCTGAACTAGGTGACTCCCCTAAATTTAAAGTGAATTGGGAGAATCCCACCTGGTTACTGGGCCAAAGGAACTACAGTTCTTAACATAAAAGCACCTCCAACCCAGCGAAGGACGTGGGCTACTGGCTGTGGGCGAGATTTCCCGCAAAAAGGGCCTCCCCGTCACCGAACAGGAGGACCAATTCAATTTATTTTTCTTGATGTGTACACCTAGATCTCACCTCCCGTCTGGTTTGCAGTTAAATTTAAAACTCTGACTAGCCAGAAGAACAGAAGTGACACTGGATTCAAACTGACAATGGCGTGCAAATTCCATGAGGTTTGAGCCTCGTGGCTCGCCATCCGGACTACCGAGATGCAGCGAGGCTGCGTTCCCGCGCTTCCTTGCGTGTGGGGTCAGAGGGCACCGCACAGGCGCGCAAAGCCAAGGCCACCGACATGGGCGAAGCAGGCAACGCGTCGGAAGCCTGCGGGGTCAGTAGGGAGGCCAGGCCTTCTGCGCGTCCCGTTTGTGGTTATTTGCCAGCCCTCGAGGTCTCTCCCATTGTACAAGGCGCTATATTCAGGGCTGGTGTGGGCTAGGCCAGAGCAGGCTCGGAATGGGCTTGAGGTGGCCTTGACCGAAGTCCCTTCTGAAGATGGCAAGATGAAGTGGCTGCTGCGGACAGAGGAGGAGTATGCACCTCTGTGCCTTCCGAAGGCCCTGACCGCTTTCTGCAGCACTTTGGTTGGGTGTGAGAGAATAGGGTTATGTAGGCTGCTCAGTAGTGATGTGGGTGCATGTGCGTGGTGGGAGTGTGTTCGGACTCTGGATCCAATCCAGCGTCATGCCCCTGATAGTATTTCCTTCAAGAAAATCCCTCCCCGATTAGATGGGGTGACCAGCATAAGAGGTGCCCTCCCTCTATTCCCAGTCAGCTGATGCTGTGATGTTAAATGGCAGGCATTTTCTTTAACTTTTAGAATTAGGGCTCCCCAGTTCTTTTCCTTCTTGCTTCCCTCATCTTCCCTTTTTGAGGTAGAATCTGGCTATGTTGTCCCAGGGGGGCCTCAAATTCCTAGGGTCAAGCGATTTTGCCCCCTTGGTCTCCCAAGTAGCTGGGAAGACAGGTGCCTAACCCTGTGCTGGCTTGATTCTCTCTCATTTTGAAGGCTGGGGTTTCAGCTCTCAAAGTGTTATGCAATCCATATTCGTATCTGTATCTATCAGAAGAGGCATTAGGTAGAGATGCTTTTGAAATAATTATGGCTGTAAGAGGCATGAAAGAAAAAGCAGATTGACTTGGGCTGCTGAGTTTAGTTAATTGAGGGGAAACATCATAAATTATGTTTGCTCTTTTAGCATATGGGAACTAAGGAAGAATTCGTTAGAGTCAGAAAGAAGGACTTGGACCGGCTGACAACTGAAGTGATGCAAATGCGAGACTTCTTGCCCAGAATACTAAATGGGGAGGTCCTGGAAAGCTTCCAGAAACTAAAGATTTTAGAAAAAAGTGAGTCTTAATTTCATTCTTAGCATTTGCTGATGATGATAGTAATGTGTTCCAACAAATTTGACTTAGGCACATAGCTATAAAGTAATTATAAATAAATTGTACGGTATTGATGTAGTTTTGGTAACTTCATTTGAGAGCAGATAAAAGGTAAAGGCTTAGAGATGCCTTCAATGCATAACTTGCACATGTGTGTGTAGGTATAGGAGGAAGGTTCCTAGCTCTCTGGACTAGTCTCTTTTTGCTCTCTTCCTTGGAAGAATCTTTTTTTTTTTTTTTTTTTTTT